TAAGAATCGGTGGGAAAAATGTAGTTGCGCAGAAACGTTGGATATTTTTTCTCTTTCGGGTACATTTTATAGCATTTAATTAAATAAAATAGTAAGGATTTGAGAACAGTAGAATAAATTACATATAACTAACATTAAGCTCACGAAATGAAAATGGCCGTTGGATGGGAGTCTTAATATGAATCCCCATGCTGGGTAAGCTTGGATTACAGTTGATATGAACATCACAGTATAAAAATAAACAGTTTACATATTACATTTTTCTTAACATGGATTTCCAAGACATTCGAGTTTATACATTATTCTTGTCAGGTCACAAATGTTTTCGAATCTGTTATATGAATGATAATTTTATTAATGTGGCACTAAAATACAACACGAGAGCTATTGGAGATGGTCCTCGTAATTTTGGCGCTGGACCACATTCAAGTGACTAGAACGACACCAGAGCTAGCACCTCTCTCTCTCCAAACTTTCACACAACTTCTTTTGGAGGACTTTGGACCTCGACTAGATTTAATGTGCCCCGCTGCAAGAGAGGGGAAGGGCGTTAGTTGCATCAGGATTCAAACTCGTAATTTGGAAGATAGCAACACCCGCTGCGTGTTCGCGACCATGACTATTAGGCTACTACAGCCCCATATGTTGGTTGAAAGTGGGTGTTTTATTCAGTGTAATACTAAAATATTTATATATAAGATAAATACCAGAGAAATTTATCATTGAAAGAGATATACTATGTCTGGATCTCCTCCTTTTTTATTTCAGGAGGAAAAGACGGTATTTCTTTTACCAACATTCAGAGAAATTGTTCGTTTATTCATCCACGTTTCAACTCCTTCTAGTGTTTGTCGAGTATCTGTTTTCGCAGTATCATCGTGTCAACATACACGTAAATAACGGTTTTGTGATTAATGGGTCTGATTTTCGTATATCCATTAAAAGTTTAGGCTCTAACTGAGTCCCTTCAAATACCCTGCTTGGGTATTCAAGGAATTGAAATAAATGTAATTCAGCTGCACTGAAAAATTTCTAAATTCTAAATAAGAATTAGTTAGGGTTATTAAGGGAGAAAGACACGGTATTGAATTAATTTGTAATTTAATCCTGTCTGTCATACTCGGTAAATGGCATTTTGAATATCGAGCAAAACCGTTCTAGTTAATTCACTGCTTCTAAATACAGGTTATGCAAATTCGTTACCTCTGAATAGTTCATGAGATCCCCGACTCTAAGCTATTTTGTGCTTTGGAATTAAGTATTTTAATTATTTAGATGAGTATTTAGTCTTTTTAAAATTAATTTTCAGTGATTTTACTTAGTACGGTAGATAACGGTTTATAAAGATTATAGTGCCAAAGCTAGGATGTGTTTTATTGTGTAGTGTACATGGGTATCTGTCACTCCTATAGACTGCATGACTTGAGATCGAAAAAAAAAATTATGTCTGGTGTCATGCGTCTATTGAAATTATATCTGGGAAATGCTTATCAAGAAGGCAATTCAATATTTAAACAGACAAAAAGCTTTACAGTAAAAATGGTTTATTAAATTAATTCAATAGTTTTATTATTTTTCTAAGTACCTTTCATCTACTTTTCTGTTCTTGTCCCATCCTTATGACGATCTTCTTATCCGCTCAGTTTTGTTCTTTTTCTTAGCCTCTCGTTGTTGTGGAGCTTAATGCTACGAAACGCTTCTTTCATCGGATCAAATAAATAAAGGTTCGAAGAAGCAAGCTCAGGGTTGTAAGGAAGAGGAAGTAGGAACTGCAAAAGTGTTTTGGAAACAGTTTCCAGAGTCAATTGGGCCATCTGAGGTCGAGCGTTGTCTTGCATAAGAAGCACACTTTTATACTCTGCTATCTCGTACATTTCTCTTGACAAGTGGGCTTGACTTTCTTCTCAATCGTGTTTTGACAAGAGTAAATGCTATTGATAATGCGATTCCTTTCCAAATAAGCATAGAAAACCGAACCGTAGGAACTCTGCCTGTCGATGATGCTTTTGCTATAACTTTTAAACTTTTCCAGCCACGCGTAAAAATTTTCACTGTTCATGCAACTACGGCAGAATTCATTGTTTGTCTGAGAGAATATTTTTAATGGTTTTACGCTTTCCAAAAGCGAAGATTGGAGAACTCTACTTTTGAAAAGTACTTTCTTCGGGAAACACACCATCGTAACCAGGACTTCAGAAGTTATGTTTACGTAAATAAATATCAATCGAAAAGCTGAATAACACAACCAACTAACACTTTTAAAATATTCAATTGTATCTTCATAAAAGAGTTTCCTTCAGTAAAAATGCTTGTTAAAGTATTGAATGAGATTCTTGTCTGATTTGTAACTCGATTGTAGAAGGAGAAAAAAAAAACGATTTATTTCTGCTGTTGGAAAGTGATGTTTATACATCATTGACTGGTAAAGTCATCAAAACTATTTTTTTTCAGGAGCAGTATTGGAGTCATTATAAAAACCTTTGCATTCGACTAAATCTATAAGGTCTCTAAAAGTGTTTAAAAGAGCAATTATTGCACCAAAAATTTCAGTCATATTTTTTATAAAATATTCTAATATGATTTAAATTTAGAACTGATGCTTAACGGTATAGGAAAGATATTATGATTTATCAAGGCAAAAATCAATCAAAGAATTGTAAAGCGGTCGCATTTCTCCCCCAACCTCACCCTCAACGAATAGATACGAATTACAATTTATATAAAAACATTTGTTTAATTCATGAACCCTGTCTTAAGCATTTAGTGTACAATTTACATAAAATTTGAAAAATGAACAATAACGTTATTTTTTTTCGGAAGAAAAAAAAAATAAAAGAAATTATTTGTATTTTATCTTCATCGGATGATATTTTTAATTCCTAATGAAAAATAAATTTCAAAATATATTGCACATGAAAAAGGTTTTTCTTTGAATATTTCACATAAGTGCAAAGAAAAAAATTAATTTCTAAATATAATTCTTTGCTTATTGCTCATTTTACGGATATGGACAGATTTATTACAAAATCTAATGTTGTACATAATCTTTTATTCAGCCGCAATGAATTATACGAAAACGTTCAATAAGTCTGAAGAAAAAGATAGAAAAACAAATGTTTTAGGCAGATTTTTTTTTTATTTTTCACCATAATTTCCTTTTAAATCCATACACTTTTCCAAGCGTTTCGCAAACTTTTCTAAGCTACCTAAAAATAAGATTTCGTAAGGTCCCCGAAATCTGTACAGATGATAACCTCTTCATTTGATGTGAACTGCTGTCAACCCTGCCATTTTTTTTATTTGGAAATTGAAAAAAAGTCACTAGGGGCCAAATCCTGCAAATATTGTGCATGGTTTAATAAATAGAGCTATAATTCCATGATTTTAGTCATCGAAACTGCATAGGTGTGCACCCGGGCTTTGTGGAGATGGAAGAGGATCTTTTTCAAAGGAGGACATTTTTTTTCTTGATTTCTTCACTCAATAGATGCAATGACGATTCATAACACTCTCCAGTTATTGTTTTTCGTTCTCGAAGTAATCGGAGTAGATAATTCCGTGTTCATCCCTAAAAACCATGGTCATCACTTTGCCGGTCAATTTCATCATCTTTGCATTCTTCGGAGCCCGTTCACCTCCAAAACTCTCGATTTTGACTCTTACTTTGTTTCTGAATGTAGTAATGTATCCATAATTCGTCCACATTTATGTATATCTACGCAGTAAACCGCAAGGAGTTTGACGAAAAAACGCCAAAATAGCCTCAAACTCGACCACACCATTGCATTTCAGCAAATTCGGCAACCATCTTGTCAAGAGTTTTTCACGTCCAATTTTTCGCACAAAATTTGAAAATAGTGTTCCTTGTGATATACCTTAACTATTTTCAACCTTCTTTCTTGGCAAACTCTTTTATCCTTTTCTTTCAAACGTCTAGACCACAGTTGCATCTTCTTTGGTACCTTGGCAATATCAGGTTCTTGCGCCATTAAACTTCCCTCCTCTCTTCTTTCATTCATTCACTCACTAAAAGAAGACTGTATAAGAGTTATGAAACCAAGGACATGCTTCAGAATTTTTTCGCGCTGTTGACTCCTTTCAAGAAATATTTGGCCATCTTGTTGCCCTAGTCTGCACTATTTCTGACAATTTTCAGTGGGGATATTTAAAGTTAAAAGGCTATATTCAAATAGTGGAATGATATGAAATTTTCATATCATTCAAAGGATCCATGAAGTCACTCTCAGCATTTTGAAAACACGTTTCTCAAAATGTACGCAAACCCTTTACATTTTACTGCCAAGGAAGGGACGGATATTTTGAAAAATTTGTAGTAAATGTAAATTCAATATTTTTTCCACGTTATGTTCGAAGTGCTTTTTACCGCTAGCATAAAAAAATGTTATAAAGTCCGATATTTTTGTATAGTAATTCACGAATGTTCGTTACGGGAACGTTCATGACACTAAATGTTTCTAGAGATTTATAAAACTGATGATTACATTTTCGGTTCACGGAAATATTGAAAATAACAGCAGCCATATAAACTTGAAAGGTTAATCACGATCAATAGAAAAATATTCCTCACAAAATTTAATTTTCATGTACTTTTTAACTAATCCCGATTACTGCAGAAGGTAAAATTTCAAAAATAATAGCAATTTACCCACTTGCTATAAACATTCCTATCCTAAAAGTATCAGTACAAATATGAGGTATATTCTATATTGAATTATAGCACAAATATAAAAAGGACAAAAGAAAAACGTATTTTAATATATTTCTAAATTCAAAGGAAATTTTAAAGGTAATCTTTATTTACTTAAATATAACATCAGATAACATACATATTTTATAATAGAATAATAAATATTTTTTCCTGGTACCAGCAAAGTAATATAAATGAAATCAGTACAATTTAAATGCTATATATAAATTTTACATTATCTCTAAAAACTATGAAAAATAGCGAATATTTTACATCGTATGAAAAAAAAACGTTGCTCAGGAGTAGGAATCGAACCTACATTCGCTGCAGCGAATCGGATTACTACCACTATTTGCTGAAGCGGTCAGACCTTAGTCTCTTGTTAGAAAGCTTGTATACAACATTGCAGTAATAGGGAAGTTCTAACTCCTTACCATTTTCATATGGATTCTGAAATTGCCGGTATGATTCGGTCTGCTGCATTTTGGACAGAAGAGAATATCTAATGACCATTAATGTTTTAATATTTTTCAATCTTTTCAGTTAACATCGTATCCCGTTCCATTTTATAAATCAAGTCCATTTCCATGCCTGTACTCTTTAGTAATATTCCACTACCAGAATAACTGAAACCAAAGTATGACCGCATCAAACAAATTATGTAAGAGTCCGATACCATAACCACTCGGCCATCCTGAACGCAGTAGCATTTCCTTTCTTAATAAAATGTTTTTAAATATACGCGCATGTATTTTATACGTTTTAAACGCATACTTTATGTAATATACTCTTTCCTTAATATTTGCTTACATTTCTTTCTTAATGATACTTTTGAATTATAATTTAATGTAGCTTTCAAATTTTTCTCTATTTTATCATGCGCAGTATTTTTTTTTTTATCTTACTCAGCAAATAAATTTTGATAAAAATGCCCTCTGATCTAGTATAATTTAATCGTACCCCCAAACCTGTTTTTTGTGCGAGGTATAGGGACTACATTAACAAAACGCATAAAAAATATTTTGAAACTTCACAAGCGGTTGTAAAATATATTATTTGCAACCCGTTTTATAAAAATATGCGGTAAATAGAGAACACATAAATTATAAATTAGAATTAATACTCATGGCAATGTAAGAAAATTCAAGACACCAATAGATTGTAAATAATCTTTCTTCGAACAGAATAAATTGTGTGCTTGCATGCTTGTTTGCTAATGAATGCCGTACGAGGTCGCGCGTTGTCCTAACAGAAAATAAAATTTTGCAGCTGAATGTAAGATAGTAAAACTGGATTCTTCCCCTTATCAACATGTTGTCGTGATGCGAATGAGTTTCTGATGCGTATCTGCTATTGTGTCAAATGGCACCCCAAACCATTATACAAGGTTGACGAGCGGTATGCGAACTCCCCGACATCTACAAACTCTCAACCAAAGGCTGTATTTCACGTCGGTGGGTTAGCGTCAAAGGCATTCTTCTTAAAGGGTGATTTGTGTGCAAGTCACTTTCAGTCAAGCTGAATACCCAAGGGAACCGAGCTCACTCAAAGAGTTTAGAGCTACAAACCAGATCCCTGGGAGACAATTACACACACTCAGCTTTTACAGGCCAAAATAATTTTTTTTACAACAATAAAAAATGAGATATAGCAATGCGGGTTGGAGCAAAGAACAAAAGACATTAGATAATTTCCAAATTCAAAAGAAAATAAAAGCTAACAAGCTTGTAAGTAATGCACAGAGAAAGAAAAGTAATGCACATACAAACGAAAAGGGTGTGACGGCATAGTTCTAATACTTCCATTTTTTTTTCGGAATGCATTTTAATCTGTATTCCATTCTCATCACGATTTCCAGTTAACAATAGATGCTGACACTATGACTCACGTTAACAGTCATAGTGTGGTAGAGATGTACAGTCATCTACTTGTACCAAAGCTGTGGCTGGCCACAGTTTTGTAAGTAATGCATACAGAAAGAAAAGTAATGCACACAAAAACGAAAATTGAAGTATCAAAAAATGAAACCCTAGACAAAATATATATGAAACAGTTCTCTCATAAATTGGATCATTTAAGAAACCCTGTATGTTTTGCAGACTGTAGAGTTATTTGATTATTGAACCACCACAATGCATCAATTTAGATATTTGATCCTATAGTTCATCTTGGTAAACACTTGTTCAATTGTTTTACTTATATTTATTTAATTCTTTTTAATCTGGAAATTTAAGGCTAAAAGTCCGTTACTGCTTGAGTATATCACAGTATTGTATTGCTATCAGAGATACAAGTGCTTACAAAATATTTGCTCGATCAGATTATTAGATGTGGTTAAAATTCGAGAATAGAGTTTTAACTGAAAAGACATATTTTTACATACTTACGTAAAAACAGAGAAAGTTACTTAAAAGCTTGTATAAGAACGCATTACTAGAATATTAGTCCTTTAAGATAATAGCATATCCTCCTCAGTTCTAGCGTCGTCTGTAGGAGACACTAAACAACACTTTCAAAATATGCAGCCTAGTTAAATAAAAGATGTCATTGGTACTCAGAATTAGTTAATTTTCTTGTTAATAGATGATACTTCTGAAAAAAATGATGTTTAGTGAACATTTTGCATTCGTAGCTTATTTATCGTAAAATGAAAATGGTGTTTGCCAAGAGAAAGAAAATTACACGCTTGCGCATCGCTAAGTGTTCATATTTTTTATTATTTGTGTAATAAAAAATTATTAAAAGCACTGTTGAATTCCTTAAACCTTCTGTTTATATATAACATTATTAATTTCTTACTCAAATCTTCCCACTTCTGGTTTAAAACGCAATGTCGTCTGTAGGAGACATTGGGTCAATGGCTATCAAAATCACTCGATTTGAAACTATAATTATGGAATTTATTTAAGCTCGGAATGATATTCTTTAATTGCTAACTGAATTCACCAAATGAAGATATTTAAAGTACAGGAGAGAATCTGTATCTGTCAGAAAATGAAATGAAACATAATTAGTGATCACTGTAATTATGTCTAATTTAAAATTTCTAGAATTGGAATGTATTGGCCAGAAAAAACTATCACTCCAATTCTCGAAGACAACATTTCTTGGAAATCACGAGTTTTCAATAAGAAACAACTTAAACTTAAGAAATTATTTAATAGTACAAGATAAAGAGAGAGAGAGGGAAAAAAACGAATGATACATTTTGGAAATTAGGACTCTTCTGCAAACAGTTCGGAAAGGAATATCTTGTGATTTAAATTTTACATTCTGCTCATTATGCTAATTATTATGAATTACTCATTAAATTAAGATTAAAGGAATATTTTAAATTAACATGATGATGTCACTTTGTCCCAATGTCTCCTCCAGGAGACACTTAATTTCTCAAAAATAAAAATTAAATTCATTTTTTTTAACATTTTTTCAGTACATTTTCATGTATTTAGAACCGATTGATACAAATTATTCTAAAATTTATTGTTCAAATTTGACCTTAGGTTTGAGGAGGATATTTGAAATGCAATATAAAAAGCATTTGTATTATAACATTCCTAATTGAGAAATGGATTTGTAATATGAATTTTATTATGAATTTTGAGAAAATATATAATATATATCAGTCAGTTATAGTCTCTCCTCCTCCCCATATTATGTTTACTTGTATAAAAATATATTTTGGGTAAACTTCGTTAGAAGGGACTAATACTTTTAATGTAAGGTAATTTACCTAAGTTGCATATAGTATAATTGTAGGTTAGGTGCAAGAAAAAAATTCTATAAGACTAAACGAGTTTATTTAAAACAACATAGCAAATTAGAAAATGGATACATTATTAGGTTATATCTGCCTTCCACAACCTGTACTTAGGCCTCTCGCCTGCCACTGAGCTTTTCGCTTACAAGCAACGCCTTTTATGATTCCATCATACCTCATCTGGCAGAAAGACAGCACAGTGGCATGAAATTATGCAGCAACCTATCTCGCATTATTTTATCTTTTTTACAATTGCACCCTAATTTAATTTCGAACTGTCTTTTCAGGTTAAAATATAAACAGAAAGAAAGTATATTGCCAATATTTCTGCAATTCTGTTTTGGAAGTTTAGATTAATTTGCCAGTTCTGAGTATTGTGCTTAAACAAGAATTCAATTAAAAAATTCTTTCAGATTCTTCACCTTTTAGTTTTATATTGATGCTTAGTTATTTAATGTATAGTACAAAGAAGAAATGCTGTTTTTTCATACAATACGAGAAATATTTATGGATGTTTAGAAAAGCGAAAATTATAAATCTTTTTTAGGATAACTTTTATGTTGAAAAGGAAATTTTTGCTGATATTCAATTTTTACAACGACAGCAAAACAAGCGCACATTTTTTTTCCTGCTTAACTCTTTCTTCAATTTCAGGTTTATTTTTTCTATTTTTACATTTCTTCGGTAAGTTCTTACAACACTTAGATTTATACAATATAAATCTAAGTGTTTAATTCTGAAACAGCGTTATAAATTAACTGTTTAATTTTTTTTTGTTCCATGTTAAATCGAAAACCCCACTATGAAAGAAGTATTGCAAAGAAGAGAAAGTTTGCATAGTCGGAAGATTGATTACATTTTTGTCACTGAGATGGGTTCAGTTCAGTTTTATTAACGACGCACTTGAAGCAAAACGAGGGCTTTTGGGGACGGACCTCGTAATTTTGAACTTCGGTCAAGTGACAAGGACGACACCTGAGCTGGCACCCCCTCTCCTAATAACCACACCACCAACGGGAGGACTTTGGGCCCCGACAGATTTAACGTGCATCACCCCTGCTATAAGACGGGTCTTTGGTGGCCAAGGATCGAACCCGCGACCGATCGAAAACCGCTGGCCACGAATCCGAAACCTTGACCATTTGACTACCGCGTTTACTCACTGAGATGGGATAACATTACATTTGTTAGGAAAATTCTTAAAACAAGATTTAAAACTTAAATATTCACAAGTTCAAAAGTTTTTCAAAAAGTCAGTTTTATCCTAGAGATCAATTGTCTGGTGGAAAAATTGGTTTCAAGACGATCTCCAAAGAAATGTAGAGAAAAGGTAGTCTATGCCGTATTTGCAATATGATATAAATAATAGAAATGAAAAAGCGGAAATTGAATGAAAATCATCTCTGGAAGTAATAAAATATAGTTTCGAAGTGATAATTTAAAACTCGATTATAACATGTGGATGTATGATTAAATTATGATAGCAAGTAAATTTTAGTAATAGGAATGAGTGGAATGGGATCAAAATATAAAAATAATTGATATATGTGGATAAAATGTATAACGTGTATTAATTCATCTTTATAACATAATGTTTGTTGGTTTGTATCGGGAAGCCGTAGACTGTAGTAACCCTCAGTATGAAGGAGATAATGAGTTCATTCTGTTGAGTTCTACATTTACAGCCTTCCGAGGGTAAAGAAACGCTGGGAGAAATGAATATTTCTGGATGAGGACTATACGTTGGGATACCTAAAGTACAATAAATAAAAACAAGTTTCTATCCCTATCAATTTTAGCAATAATTAGACGTTTACGATACCCTGGGATAAAAATTAGATCTTTACAACCCGGGTTACTTTAATTTACAGCTTCCTCAAACCAAATAAATCTACATAAATTCCTGGAATTTATAAAATTATATACATTAGGATCAATT